ACAGTTCCGTACAAGTTGTAAGCAAACTAAGCTATCTGAAGATACCATCTAAATTTAGATTTGCATGCTTGGAATAAAAGCAATGAGCTGCCTTATTTGTGACAGAAGTGATTCCTGTGTACAGTCTACTTCTAACTCTTTTCTTTTCTGAGTCTCGGTCACTTTAACTGTTCCTAAAATCCTGCTATTTTTACTTTTGATTTTCAATACGATTTGTCCTTATATTTGTGCTTTTGCTTTAGTACGATTTGTTCCTTTTATATTTCTATCGCTATATATTATTTATATAAAATAAGGTAAATGTTAATGGTCTTTAAAACCATTTAAGTTTTGATATGGTTTATTTAAAATTTTAGAAATGTTTTCAATGCAAAATATTTTCTAAACATAACATTTTCATGTAAAATGTTCTTTTTATTTTTTATTTTTCAGTGTTTAGCAATTATTAGTAAAATATATATTATCTTTTGTATTATGTGTTCGTTTATTACGCAATTGTCTTAATATCTCTCGATTTTAGTGCGCGGACCTAATTAACCCGTGACATTAGAATTGAAGGGTATCACAGGATACGTGGCTCCATCGCCTCACTGGTTAAACTTATGGGTTAGGTGAACATAATCTGTGGACCCCAACAGACTCATCTCGAGATGTTAGTGGGGATGTCCAAATGTTATGCAATTGTTGTCCTCGAGCCATGCGTTGATCTGGAGTGAGGGCGGAACTTACTGGGGGCGAGTGCTAAAGTGTGCCACGTGTAACTAGGGATTATGTTTCGCCCGTCTATTTATTCTTGCACTGATGTGCTAAGTGTAATTGTGGGATACGTCCCCTATAAATCATTTTTTCAAATTGGCACATGGTGACCAAAATGCATTTATACGATATTTTTTACAACACAATTTGACAAAGATGGATTTTTAGTAAAATTTGGTGAAATTTTAAATACCATTTAGCAAAAGCAAAGATTTATTAATAAATTTTAAATTGCTGGTATTTTAAAAAATGCTTTGTATTATACTTTTTATGAAAATAATGAATTAAATAAACTTAAATTTAAAATAAATGAATACTCGTATCATAAAACACGTAATTAGTTCTAATATTAATGTCCAAAAAATTTTAGGATAGTACCTAATTCACCACGAAACTGAATGACGTGGTGGATTTTATTTAATTTTTTAGTTCATATTATTATTGTTATTTTGTAGCTCAAAAAAAAAAAAAATTTCAAGCAGCGAGATGTACGTTAAATAAAGTCCAATTCTTCAGCCTTCAAAAATCAAAATTGATACCTGAAGTATGGGCCGTATGGAAAGATCTATTCTTCTTAAAAACTGACAAGAATCTTGGGCTTTTTTAACATTGCTTAGAATATAATAAGGACATCGGTTTTTATAGCATTTCTTTTGTAAATTTCGTAATTTTTTTCCCTTTTTTTTTTTTTTTTTAATTTCTGGAATGTTAAACAAGTTGTATATATGAAAAATATTAAAATAATATACAAAGTTTCAGCTTTTGCTGTATGAACAATGCGGGCTTGGCCTATTAGGCCCAAAGGCAAAAACAAAAGGAAAAATATCATACAGGCCCAAAAGGCTAATTAATGATTAAGTGAGTGTTTTCTGTATTGGCCATTTTTGCCAAAAAAAAAAAAAGTATTGGCCATTTGTCATTGCCGTAAAGTGAAAATATGAAATGAGTCTGTCTAGAGCCCCTTTTGTTTTTATATGTATCATAAATTTTGAGGATATATACCCTATTTAATTGTTGATTGTATAATTAAACAGTTTAAATTGAAAAGATTTGAACCCCATACTTTCACACATTTTTTTTTATTTATTAAACGTTGATTTGGCGTATGTTATACATTTACCTGTTTGTATTGTATTGAATTTTGATTCTATAAATAATACATCTTGAAAATATTTTGGTCATCGAAATATTTATTTAATTGTTGATTCTATTGTATATTCTATATTTGAATACACTAAGAGTGTGTTCAATTGCATATTTGCATTAAATTGGAGTTTTAGAATTGAAATTAATAAAATTGAAAAGAACTTTAATTCAATTTTCTGAGATACTTCTTTTTAATTTCACCAATTTCAATTTCGATATTTCAATTTCATATACCCGAACACAACATATTCCATTATACCACTTCACTTCTTCAGAACCTTTCATAACTTCTATTGTTAACAGCATCGTTATCTATTCTTTCACCATTTGCCAAAAAGAAATTTCCGTTTTTCCACTTTTATTCTTTCCCAATATGAACAAGACAAAAAAAAAAAAAAAAAAAAATGAACAAGACCCAATCTTTATTTTTCCTCTTTTATTCTTTCCCAATATGAACAAGACCCAATCTTTATTCCTATTCACAAGTGAGGGTGAGAGCACACATCATCTCTTATCTATTACCTCAACTCTTTCTTTATCAAGGTCGCACTAATTCAGTGGAATCTTTAAAAGTAGTAAAGTTACTCAAATACACATATTCTTAATATGTGTCCAAGCCATTGGTAAGACATGTTCTCAAAGAACATATCCAATCATTTAATTTTATTATATTATTATTTTAAAATAAGTTGAACGCCTAAAATGAACACAATGTTTTATAAAAATATTATTTTACACTAAAAATATAATTAAATAATAAAATAAAATGAATATTAAGAAGCGTCCATTTGACATTCTGATTGAAAATATGACATATTCAACACATAAATACATACATGTATTCGACACACGTTCCCAAGTCCATATAACATAGACACTATGAATTTTTTTTATTTTTTTAAATTCTTAAAAGTAACTAACAAAATGGGATACGATCATAACAGCTCAATTGTGTATCTTGAAATGTGTGTGTTCTTAATTATGTTCTCAAGTAGAACAATGTTAGTGAGGATACCGAAGTAGAGTGGGACGGGTCTGACCCAAGAGGAGAGCATCGGGTTGGGCAGCAAGTTCAAGCCCAAGCTTGAAGACTAATGCCACAGGCCCAACACCGGAGATCCACCAAATTGAGTCAAGCCCAAAAGGAAGAAGGCCCGAAGACGGAGAGTCCAACATAAGAAGTTAGTTATAACACTTGTAATTGCCTATAAATAGGCATAGAAGATATAGAAAGAGGGAGATAAAAAAATTGTGTAATGAAATATTAGAGAGATCGGGAGTGATATTTTCTTGCATTTACAATTGACGTCGTCTGTGGGAACGTTGAAGGTTGATTCTTGTTTGATCAACGTCATGTTGATTCAGACTGATTGGTGAAGACGAAGCTTGATTTCTAGAAGTTGAATCTAGATCTGAGAGATTGCGGTTTGCTCTTAAGAAGTTCTTGATTCCTGATTGATTTTGAGAAATTGGCGTTAGGTTTACGCAGCGGTGATTCATTCTATTGCGGCTCGATCTGACAAGTTCAAAGCCAGAAAAGCTCTGATCTACCAAAGGGAGAACATAATTTATAAAATTTGAGTCCAGATCTGACGTGATTCACGTCAGCGAAACTCAGATCTGACTTAGAATTTGTGATTCATGCCTTTGCTCCATTCTGGAATGATGACTAGGGGTGAGAACTCCAATACGGTAGAGAATGTCCAGCAGATGAAGCTTGATGAGTTGATGAGCATGATCGAGGCTCTCCTCTTGGCAAAGAGAATGCAAAGCTAAGGACTGAAATGCAGCGTTAAGAAGCTCCAGTGATTCCGCGATCGCTCCCAGCAGGAGAAGAAGTTGTACGTACCGGTGCGGCACATCACGGTGCGGAGGTAGGGAACAATCAGACAGATCTTCACCACGAGAAGGTCCGGCCAAATGATTTGCCGCCAAGTCCTCGTCGTGTTGATGATCGTGAAGGATCAACTCACGTGGATCCACGGCGTAAACAGATTAGGCAAAACGAAGCCATGACTTTCGATCCACATCAAGAAATGCTCAGCCGAGAAGAAGTAATGGAGTTTGATCGCCACAAAACTATACTGCCGTGGCACAAAGAGTTTATGGAGGAAAGATCATTCGATCCGTCTTATCGGCCTTCTATGGCAACGCTCGATTATCGAAGCTCAGAAAGGAGATCTATAGATTAGAGAACTACCACGGGGTTCCAGAGGGAGAATGAAGAACTCCGTTCAGCAGCTCGAATGGTTGATTTGCCGTTCACTGACAAAATTCTGAATGCTCCGAGTCCGAGGAAATTTTCAATGCCCGTTTTCATTCTGTTCAACGGGACGACCGATCCGATTGATCATGTATATCACATCCAGTTGAAAATGGCTTTGAACACTGAGAATGATTCCTTGATGTGCAAGTGCTTCCCTACGAGTCTAGCTGGACCAGCGCTCAATTGGTTCAAGAATCTGCCGAGGGGCTCAGTGGATACTTTCCGAAGCTTGTGTGATAGGTTCATAAGCCAGTACTATGGTAATAAACGTCCAGCAAAGGACATTTCGAGCATATTCACAATGAAGCAGCATGAGGACGAGCGTCTCTAAACTTTTCTTACCAGGTTTAACCTTACTAAAAGCATGATGATTGAATGTCATCCTTCTACGGCGGTTCAAGCGTTTAAATTGGCCATGACTCATGGCACTCCATTCCACACACGCTTGGTAATGAATACACCGAAGACTATGGATGAACTTAATGAAAGAGCTGATGGTTTTGTGCGCTTGGAAGAAGAAGAGGCAGCTAACGCTCGGAAGACATCCATCATATCAATAGAAAAGAAAACCAAAGCAAAGATCAGGCAAAAGCAGGTTCAGCCACAGCGTCAAACCTCCTGGAAATCTGAGAAGAGGCCCAGGGAGGAAGAGCTGGTTACTCCATTGAAAGTCACCTTAGCAAGGCTGTACTAAGAAAATAAAGATAAGTTTCGATCTCCTTTACCAATCAGACAGCCCCTTGAGCAGAGGGACCAGTCTAAGCATTGTGCATTCCATTCTGACTTTGGCCATCAGACTAATGAATACAGGAACTTAAAGAGATAGGTAAAGATGCTGATAGCCAGAGGGGAGTTCGCAAGTTATATTCAAGGCCTGGCGGTAGAACAGAACCTACCGATGGAGCAAGTGAAGAGGAATCAGAAGTCGAGCTCCCACAACACGCAACCAGTTCGAATAATCAATGCAATTCACGGTCGGCCTGAACCCACTGAGGAGTCAGATGAACTGCTTCGAACACGCCTTCGCCAGGCACAGATGAAGAGGATGATAGGCAGTGTAAACACTCTGCACCAGCAGAGTGCATCAACACAGATCAAGTTTGACAGAAACGACCTGTTATACGTTCAAATTCCTCACGAGGATCCGTTAGTCGTCAGTTTGACAGTAACAGAATGCCTGGTACGATGAGTCTTGATTGATCCTGGGAGCAGTGCGAATGTTATGCCGAGGGACACATTCAATCGGCTCGAAATAAAACCCGAGAGGCTCAAGCCCACTGCAAATCCCTTGCTAGGGTTCGATGGAAAATGGGTTGAACCCATCGGTAAGGTGGAAGTTGCAGTGCAGGCTGTAGAAAGGGTTCTGATAGAGAGCTTTGTTGTTGTTGAGATCCACCAATCTTACAACCTTTTGATGGGCAGAGGATGGATTCACAAAGTTCAGGGTGTTCCCTCAACTCTGCATCAGGTAATGAGGTGCCTAGGGCCTGACAAAAATAAGGTGATTGACATTCATTAGGACCAGGTTGCAGCTAAGGAGTATTATTCTGTGACTATGAAATTCGCTGGAAAAGGAAAAGCACATATTCGCTCGGCAAGCTTGAAATAGCAATTACAGGAACCTTCACCCACACAGAATGGGGAGGAGGAGCCTATGGACTTAACTGAAGAGCCTCTTGCTGATGTGCAGATCTACCATGACAGGCCAGAGCGAACAACCAGAGTGGGAATAAAACTTGCCGAGGAAGAAAAACGGGAGCTAGTTGATTTTTTGTCATGAAATGCTGATGTGTTCAGATGGAGTCACTTAGACATGCCTAGAATCAGTCCTTCTATATCATGTCATTCCCTTAACGTTAATCCGATCATGAAACCTGTAAGGCAGAAGCAGAGAAGGTTCGCTCCAGAACGCAATCAGATTATAGCCGAAGAGGTTGATAGGTTACTTGATGCAACGTTCATTAGGGAAGTACAGTACCCAGAATGACTCTCAAATGTTGTCGTTGTGCCAAAGAAAAATGGCAAATGGTGAGTATGTATTGACTTCACCAATTTAAACAAAGCATGTCCGAATGATAGCTTCCCACTGCCAAAGATTGACCAAATGGTAGATTCTACAACGGGGTACGAGCGTTTAACCTTCCTAGATGCTTATTCAGGCTACAATCAAATCCTCATGAACCCCGCTGATGAAGAGAAAACTTCTTTCGTTACCGAACGAGGGACTTACTGCTACAGATTCATGCCGTTCGGACTAAAGAATGCAGAAACAACCTACTAGAGGCTGATCAGCAAGATTTTTAAAGATCAGATGGGAAAAACTGTGGAGGCTTACATTGATGACATGGTAGTGAAGAGTAAGAAGAAAGTTGATCATCTGAAACATCTCCAAGACATGTTTGATGTGCTAAGAAGCTTTGGAATGAGGCTTAATCCAAACAAGTGTTCATTCGGTGTGAGTTCTGGCCAATTCCTAGGACATGTAGTTAAACACAGAGGAATAGAGGCTAGCCTAGCTCAGGCAGAAGCTTTGACCACAAATGTGGAACCGAAGACAATCAAAGAAGTGCAAGCTCTCACAGGTCGAATAGCTGCATTAAGCCGGTTCATCTCAAAGCTGTTAGATCGTTGTAAGCCATTCTTCGACACAATACGGAGCCATGGGAGATAGGTCTGAGGGGACGAACAGCGACAAGCACTGACTCAATTAAAAGAGTATATACAGAATCCACCAGTCATGTCTGCTCCTGATCCAGGAGAGAAGCTATTTTTATAACTTGGAGTATCTAGCATTGCAACAAGTACCATTTTGATTCGTTGCAAAGAAGGAGTGCAGTACCCGGTGTTTTATGTTAGTAAAACGATGACCGAGGTTGAACAAAGATATTCGAAGGCCGAACGGGTAATACTTTCGCTCGTTAATGCCAAGAGAAAGCTGCGGCATTATTTCGAGTCCTATCATATACTCGTTCTGACAACTTTCCCAATTAGAGAGCTCATGCACAAGCCGGACCTCTCGGGGAGAATGACGAAATAGGCCATAGAGTTAAGCTCATTTGACATAACATATGAGCCCAGAACAGCTATTAAAGGGCAAGTGGTGGCAGATTTTTTACTGGAGTACAATTCAGAAGATGCAGAGGAAGACCTTAGAAGATGTCCATAGAAGCTCTACGTAGATGGCTCCTCCAACCAGATGGGGGCAGGTATTGGGATCAAATTACAAACGCCAGAGGGCACGTCTTTGAGCCAAGCGCTCAGACTTGAATTCTAAGCCACTAATAATGAAGCAAAATACGAGGCGTTGCTCAATGGACTAAAGTTGGCCAAAGAGCTGAGGGTCAGCAACTTAACTGCTTTTAGTGACTCACAGTTAATTGTCCGTCAGGTGAATGGTGAGTACGAAACCAAGGACGAAACGATGGAAGCATATCGTTCTGCCGTGCTGCGTGAAGCCAAAGGCTTTAAGAAAATTGAATTCATCCGGTTGCCGAGAGAGCATAACGACAATGCCGATTGGTTAGCATGCAGTGCTTCGAGTTCTAGGGAGACATTGGCAAGGGTGATTCCAATAGGTATACTAAGCCAGCCATCCATCTTCGAAGAGCCTACAGGCTTCGATCCTTGGCAAGTGAATCTCATACCATATGAGCCGAGTTGGATTGATCCAATCATAACTTACATTCGGGATGGTACTTTGCCCGAGCAATGGGAAGAGGCTAGAAAGGTCAAATCGAATGCTGCAAAGTATGCCATAGTGCATAACCAGTTGTACAGAAGCTCTTTTTCCGGGCCATACTTGAAATGTGTCACCCCCACAGAAGCTCGGCAGATATTATGAGTTATTCATGAAGGTGTATGTGGAAATCATTTTGGGGGAAGATCTTTAGCGCACAAAGCAATGACACAGGGGTACTTCTGGCTGAACATGTCAAGAGATGCGGAAGAGTTCTCTAGAAGGTGTGACAAATGCCAAAGATACGGACCATTAATCCACTAACCACCTGAGGAGTTGCACGTAATGGCCACACCATTGCCTTTCGCACAATGGGGGATGGAGGTGGTTGGTCCTTTGCCAACTACAAGAGCTCAAAACAAATATGTGCTGCTGGCAACAGATTACTTTACTAAGTGGGTGGAAGTAGAACTGTATCCGAGCGTGACTTGGACTTATGTGAAACGCTTTATTTGGAGTAATATTATGTGCCATTTTGGTGTTCCGAGGTCATTCGTCATGGATAATGGGACAAACCTTGACAGCAAGCAAGTAAGAGAGTTGTTGAAAGAGTATGGAATTAATCAAAAGCTAGCGGCAATAAGTCACCCCCAGGCTAATGGACAAGCAGAAATCACAAATAGAATAATCTTTGCTTGCATCAAGAAGAAGCTTGAGGATCAAAAAGGAAAATAGTTAGATAAACTGCCGAACGTCTTATGGGCTTATAGAACGACCCCAAGACGACCGACCGAAGAGAGCCCATTCGTCATGGCGTATGGTACCGAGGCAGTTATATCGGTCAAGCATTTAGTTCCGACTGTCCGAAGCTTAGCATAGAGCCGAGAGCATAACGATAGTATGTTTAGGTTTAACCTCGATATATTGGAGGAAAAGAGAGATGCAGCGGCAATAAGGCTCGCATCCTACTAGCAGACCCTTATGAACAGCCATAACAAAAAGGTAAAGCACAGAGACTTTGCACCAAGTGATCTGGTTCTGAAAAGAAAGGTAGGAATGGTTAAGAAAATGGTGGCACCTTAGGAAGGCCCATATAGAGTTGCAGAAGTCTTAGGAAATGGAGCTTACACCTTAGAAACCATGACTGGAAGGCTGGTCAACAAGCCATGAAATGCTACATCTCTGAAAAGGTATTATCAATAGAAAGTCGAGTTCCAATTTATCATTGTTCATTTTCAAATTGTGTACCTATGAATGTACGAAATTTTGAAATCTATAAAGAACTATCTTCCTCTGAAAAAATTGAATGTTTGAAAAACTACAAAGTAAATGGCAACTGGCACTATGAGCCGAATGCCAAAAACTTGCCAAAAAATAAAAAGTGACAGTGGCAAGTGGCATTCTAGCCGAGCGCCAACCACTCTGCAAAGTTAGTGGCAGTTGGCACTATGAGCCGAACGCCAAAAACTTGCCAAAAAATAAAGAGTGACAGTGGCAAGTGGCATTCTAGCCGAGCGCCAGCCACTCTGTAAAGTTAGTGGCAGTTGGCACTATGAGCCGAATGCCAAAAACTTGCCAAAAAATAAAGAGTAACAGTGGCAAGTGGCATTCTAGCCGAGCGCCAACCACTCTGCAAAGTTAGTGGCAGCTGGCACTATGAGCCGAACGCCAAAAACTTGTCAAAAAATAAAGAGTAACAGTGGCAAATGGCATTCTAACCTAGCGCCAACCACTCTGCAAAGTAAGTGGCAGCTGGCACTATGAGCCGAATGCCAAAAACTTGCCAAAAAATAAAGAGTGACAGTGGCAAGTGGCATTCTAGCCGAGCGCCAACCACTCTGCAAAATTAGTGGCAGCTAGCACTATGAGCCGAATGCCAAAAACTTGCCAAAAAATAAAGAGTGACAGTGCCAAGTGGCATTCTAGCCGAGTGCTAACCACTCTGTAAAGTTAGTGGCAGCTGGCACTATGAGTCGAACGCCAAAAACTTGCCAAAAAATATAGAGTGACAGTGGCAAGTAGCATTCTAGCCGAGCGCCAACCACTCTGTAAAGTTAGTGGCAGCTGGCACTATGAGCCGAACACCAAAAACTTGTCAAAAAATAAAGAGTGACAGTGGCAAGTGGCATTCTAGCCGAGCGCCAACCACTCTGCAAAGTAAGTGACAGTTGGCACTATGAGCCGAACGCCAAAAATTTGCCAAAAAATAAAGAGTGACAGTGGCAAGTGGCATTCTAGCCAAGCGCCAACCACTCTGCAAAGTTAGTGGCAGCTGGCACTATGAGCCGAACGCCAAAAACTTGCCAAAAAATAAAGAGTGACAGTGGCAAATGGCATTCTAGCCGAGCGCCAACCACTCTGCAAAGTTAGTGGTAGCTGACACTATGAGCCAAACGCCAAAAACTTGCCTAAGCTGAATATGGAATTAATTGTTGTTACTGACAAGCAGGTGTAATCAATGGGAAAATATAAAAAATTTGGAGCAAAGTTCAGCCAAAAATTTGTTATCTCATTTATCATAGGAATTTTTGAGGTTACAACCTATAAAGTATATATATGACATGAATACAAAAAAAAAAAAAAAAAAAAAAAAAAAAAAAAAATTGTTGCAACAGGAGAACCCTAATTGGTTGCCTCTGTTCCATCACTATCCTGGTTAAGCTGACCTATCTCTTCGCCACCAATGGTCACCCCATCTTCACGAGGAGGAGAATCAAGTTGAATAACAGAGTTGATCTGCTGAGTCTCAACCTCGGCGGTGGTCGCAGAAGGGACCAGGGTGGACAGAGAAGGCACGTCCAAGGGCTGATCAGTGGTAGGAGTAAAGTGACCCTGGAAGAAGCAATCTCCTGACACTCATCAAAAATATGCTTAGCAAGAGTGGAATCTGGATCAACATAGGTTCCTGAGGATCAATGTCCAACTCCTTGTCAACCTCATTCAGAGTAGAACCGGTCTGGCCTTCAGCAGGAACGCGATCGGTGTAACCCTCTCGGAACCCCTGTGCATACCTGAGGGCACCAACCCTGGAAAAACGTGCATGAAGAGCCATCATACCGCCATTCACTTTGCCAATAATGTTAAGCAGGGCGTCGTGCTCTTCCAAGGCCCTCCTCTCGAAAACCATTCGAGCGGTCTGCTCATCACTAAGTAGGCGCTGAAGTTCTCCCTTCTCAGCCCTAAGTGAGTCACGCTCAATGTGCCAGACACTCTTCTCAATTTGTAGAGCGTCATTCTCATCCTGGAGAGTGTCTGCCTCCTTTTCCAGAGCATCTCTCTCTTTTTCAACCTTGTCAAGCTGAACCATCAGC